CGTCTATATATATATATATATATATATGAAAAATACTATGCAACACCTATAGGTGAATTATATAGTACTTCACCTACGATTTTATCACTGTTCAAAGTTTAGCACCCGATCACAAATGTCTGATAGTTTTTGAATTTTAATATATTTTTATAAATCATAATGATCTGTAATTTTGTAGGTGTGTGATCCTTAGTGAGATGCATATGAATAAAATATAAAAAAAATAATTAGAATGATAAAATATACATAAAATGCCTTTATAAAGTTTCAGAGGTAATTTTATCATTTTATTTTATGACTATTATTTTTTTAATATTTTATTTTGGTGAGATTTGGTCATATCTATACACACCCCAAATTTTAGATAAATTTGATTAGTACAAAAATTATAAAAATTTCAAATACTACCAAAAATTGTGATTGTGTGATGAACTTTAGACGGTGATGATGTATAGGTGAAGTACTATAAAACTTCATCTATAGGTGTTTTGTGTATATATATATATATATGCGGTTTGTATAGAGCCTAGGCTCTAAACAATCAAATTAGAGCCTACCTTCAAGTAGTGTAGAGAAATGTGGTTTAAAGACTAGAAATCATTGTGATTGCCTTGAAATATATTTTCATCTTTATTTAAAAAATTTAAAACTTCAAAAATAGTGTAGACCGACAGATCTATGAAAACTTGAAAAATCTTGAAAATTGACGGTCAAAAAATGCGTTACAAAATAACTATTTCCAATACTTGAAATCCATTTTTTTCTCGTGTCCATGCATCTTGATGTCGACATGATCAATTTGACGATATTTAGGCATCAAAACAACCTCTTCTAGTGAAAATTTTGAGGTAGGCTATAATTTGATTGTTTAGAGCCTTTGCTATATATACTTTTTTCCCTATATATAAACAAGTTGAACTTGCCAGCCCAAAAATATTTCGAGCATGTGCCCAAGCCATTGGCTTAACATGCAGTGCGAACCGGGCCGAAAACTGAGCCCAATAAGAGCACTATTATGGTCATGTGAATGAGTACACTTATCACCCATGGTGGATATTTTGGTCATGGAATTGTATGCAATGTGACCATTTACCTTTAGTGCAGAGAAGTCACAATTACTTACAACCATTCGATATGAAATCTGATAGCTTGGGTATGTTACAAAGTTTGAGAAAATTTCTTTTGAACTTTGAGCTTGGTCGATGAAATAAATGCAGCGACTCAATTTCACATCCAATGATCAACATTAATTATGACCAACTTGTACAAAAGAGAAATGATATCATCAAATATGCTTTCTCAATTTCACATCCAATGATCAGCATTAATTATGACCACCTTGTACAAAAGAAAAATTGTATCATCAAATATGCTTTCTCATAGTTTAAAGGAGTGCCATAATCTAATGAAGGGCGTTTTAGTCATTTCTCAATGGCACCATGCACTAATGTGCCCCAAGTTAAATATAAGGGATGGATATACTCTTGTTTAAAGCAAAGACTCCTCTTTTGAGGGTTGTTTCATTCTCTCTCTTTCCAGCTTTAAGTGTTCTCACTTTATGCTCCAATAGATAGTGAAAATAGACACTGACATAACCATGCACAAAAGTCAAGATTCCACCTGATGGAAAGTGCACTTAAAGCAAATGATGATTACCCATTAACGGGCCTCTTACTCAAACCCCTGGTCAGAGAGGAACAACTCTTTTTCTTTCTTGCGTTAGTAGAGAGAGAACAAATCAAATGTAGAGAGAGAGAGAGGTTGTGTTAGTAGAGAGAGAACAACTAAAATTTAGAGAGAGAGAGGGGGGCTAAAAAATGCAATGCTCATGTAAATGCAGACTTAAATTTATTTTTCCCTCTCTATTGCAACCCTAATGCATATATGCTCACTCAAATTCTCAAGAGAGAGAGAGGAACTCCTAAACACTTAAGGGGAAAGAGTATGCGGTTGTAGTAGTTGTACACCCCATACCTCAGTTCCACGTTGTGGTTTCCGATTCTATTGACAACTTTAAAAACCATTAATTAATTAAAAAACAAGCAGAGTTCGTCTTCCTCACTGAATTACTCATAATAATAATAATAATACTAATAATCTAGAAAAGAAGATATCAAATTGGGCACTGAACAATCCGTGATCCGAGTTGGACTCCTTGAGTTGGCTCTTCGATTCCGGTTCTTAAGAGGGACACAAAAAAAGCAAAAATGTTGAAAAATAAAAAGTTGTCCTAGGTCTCAGGAATTACTTGGGCCCAACGGTGATCCGGGAGACTCAGTGCAGTGAACTGCCTGGTTCTGGACAACCCTAGTTGATTCTGCGGTTAGTGATTCAAAATCTGAGGCCTAGGGTTTGCCGACTCGGGGATTTTTAAAACATCTATTCAAATTTCTTCTTCTTTTCTTTACCTATCTTGTTACTTATTCAAAAGCCAAACAAGTAAAATGAATAAAACTCAGATTTACCATTGGAAAACGACTAGGTGAACTAGCTTTTATTGATGTTCTTGGTTTGTCCAATGCATTATCCTAAATGGAAAGTGAAGGGAAAGTTAAAAACTCAAGGCTTTAAATTTAAGATCTTCTCGTTACTTTTGCTGCTTTCTTTTATCCATTTATCCCTTTTTGTAGTGCATAGAGACTTCTGGAAATTAATGCCCCATAAAAAAAAAAACAATGTCTTTTCTTTTTCTTGATAAATCTAACCTTCTTTGACGTCTTTCCTTTTTCTTGATGAATCTAATCTTCTTTGATGTCTATTGTTATAAATCTCATCTTCTTTCTTTATCAGTTGCAGGAAGGCAATATAAAGATCCAGGAGGCAAAAAAGTAGTCTCTTTCTCTCCTCTCTCTCTCTATCTCTCCCTCTCTCATGCCATAACACTTAAGGTGACTCAGCATGCTTTCCCTAATAGAAAGCAGATACGGAGTAGTGTTTTTTCATGAGTAATGAACATGGATTCTGTTTCCTTACACTATTCTAAAAGCTTAACTGTGGCCCTTAATTTTGGCAGTGAATATCTTTTGATGTGTTCCATGGGGTGGCACATTTGTTTGTTTTAAGCAATGAATATGCTCTCTCTCTCTCTCT